AGAGAAATCCTGACTCATAGATAAATCCAGAGTATCAATTGCCCATTTTAGCCCACATTCCTCTTTTTTAATTGTATTATATTTTTGTATTCTTAGAAAGAGTGTCTTCAAGAGAGAGATCACAGGGTAGTCTATCCCTTTATGGTCTTCGATAAGGATTGCTCCAAAGCTTACATTAGAGGCATCTATTTGAGGACAAAGGGTTGGATAAAATCTAATCCTTTTAACACTGGTTTATTTAACAGTGCATTTTTTATTTTACCAAATGATTCTTGGCATTCTTTAGTTCTAATTGGTTCTAATTTAGCAGAAATGGCAAAAATCTCTGCTTATTTAAAGGACCATTCACAAGAAAAATATATTTCGGTTTGGAGAAGATGGATTGATTACATTCAAAAGAAATATCAAACTGAAAAATATTATCTTGCTTATGAGTAATTTTTAGATTATTATTAATAGTTTAATATGATTGAATTTATATTACTTTATTTTATATAATATTTTATATTATATTATTTGTAATATTATGGTTTAATTATAGAATTATAGAATCATATAATTATTTTTGTTTTCAATTTGTTAATATTTATTTTGAAGAGGAGTTAAAGTATGTTATGGATTTGATTAATAGTATAGTTGGGTAATGTTATGTAGATTATGTTTGTTTATTTGTAACCCTGTAATCAGCTCTGGGAAGGGGGGAGGGGGGCAAGGATTGGGGATATATATTGTGTGAAATTTTTAAAACTTTTAATTAAAAAAAAGAGAGAGAGAGAGATCACAGGGTAGTCTATCCCTTTATGGTCTTCTATAAGGATTGCTCCAAAGCCTACATTAGAGGCATCTATTTGAGGACAAAGGGTTGGATAAAATCTAATCCTTTTAACACTGGTTTATCTTTTTATTTTACCAAATGATTCTTGGCATTCTTTAGTCCACATGTGGGTTCTGCTTTTATTGTTAAATTTGTGAGGGGTTGAGCCAAAGTAGAAAATGAGGAATGGCCTTTAGTAATATCCCACTACTCCTAAGAAAAATTAGACTTCTATCTTTGTATTGGAGCTTCAACCTCTCAGAATCCTTTGGAGGTTTCAGGATTTCAACCTTTCCTTTCAGGTTCTAGCTCGCCCTTTCCCACAGAACCCTAAATATAGGCATTAAAGGTGTGCTTCCCAGGTTTGCTATAGAGGAGGATATCATCTAGATATGCAGTGTATCATGTCCCTTTACTAGGTGGGATTTATTCATAAGACATTGGAAAGTAAGTAGTGTCCTATATAGCCTAAAATGCATTCTCTTGAATTGAAAGAGGCCTTATGGGGAGGCAAATGCATCTCCTTTGAATAATGTTCCAGTAGAATTTGGCAATATCCTTTGGGTAAGTCTAAGAAAAATAAATAGCGGCACGTAGGCCATCCAAGAGGCCATCAACTTGGAGCATTGAATATTTATCAAATTTTGTCACTCAATTTATTTGCTGGAAATCTACATAAAATCGTATTTCTTCATTTGATTTTGTCAGTAATATAATTGGAAAACATTTGGAGCGTGTTATCTACTTCACTTTGTTAAACTGCTTACCTACAAGTTTCCAGAACATCTAAAAAGATGTTTTAGAGAGAACATCTAAAAAGAAGTTTTAGATGTTCTAGAAACCTGTAGATAGGCTATTGAATAGGTTGAGTTTCTCCCTTTCTGTACTATGTTCTATTAGATCCATTAATCCTGGTTGCATTTTTTAACATATTTTTAAAGTCATTTAATATCTTTTCCATATCTTTTGCTTGATTTGCAGATAACTGAATTTATTTAGTTATTTTTTAGCAAATTGATATGGCTACCCAATTCAAAGTGACTCCAGATGGCCTACAGAAATAAAACCCCAAATATAAAACCCAATAACCTGCCCCCTCTTGCGACAACAATCAAACAAATCACTTGATGACTTCCTTATCACCCTAGGATACCCAGGTCGCTTATAAACCCATGTCTTCCAAAAAAGCATCAAGGTGGAGGCCAATCTTACTTACATAGGAGTGATGTTCCATAGGGAGTGAGCCACCATGGAGAAGGGCCTCCTTCTTGGTCCCTCTAGATAGACCTTCTTAAGAAAGGGGACTGTAACATATCTTGCCTTCCCACTCTGGTGAGTTTGGCAAGTGTATTTGAGAACAGTCCTTCAAATAGCCTGACCTCAGGCCATGCAGGGCTTTAAAGGTGACAATCAGCATCTTGAATTGAACCTGGAAGCAAATCAGCGACCAGTGGAGCTCCTGAACAAGAGGTAACACATGTTACTTCTCATGCACAAAACAATGTGGGCCCTTGTTAATATGCACCTTTCCACATGATTGCATCCCAAGCTTGATCCAACAGTTCTGGTTTCCTTTTTTTTTCATGCAAATAAAGTTGTCTCAAGTTCAGTTTTATTAAGTCATTTCCTTAAGAGACTAGCATAATAGATTTTCTTTTACTTTTATTCTAGTTCAAATTCATAATTCACTGGCTCAGTTCTTCTTACTTTGTAGAAACCCTGCTGCTTAGTTGGCAGTTTGTTTTTTACTAGGCAATAACAATAATACTTGGTTTCTCACATTGAATTGCTTTGATTTTAAACCCTTATCATACTGCCTCTTTTGTTTTTCCCTGGCTGTTTTTTTAATGTTTCTGAGCAATGTGTCCTTGTGTCTTTAACTGATTTCTCTGAGTTAATATATATTCTATTAAGTTCTTAAGACCTTCTAAGTTTTCACACCAGCCTTCTTAGTAAGGTCCAAGTTCCCCCTCCAGGTTACCTTCCTAAATCCCATAACTGGCTATGAGATTTCCTTATATGCAAAACCTAAGAATGGTAAACAGGTATCCCAAGGTTTTGTGGGCTGACCTGCATAATTCTGAAGCATAGCCTTGAGGGTCTGTTTCATCTTTTCAGAGATATCCTCTACTAGGGATGATAAGGACTGGTATGCATCCCTTTTATCCCTAAATCAGCATAAAGACATCTAAGCAGAGCTGATTAAAAATTAGAACATTAATTTGTGAGCATTTCCTTTGGTATGCCTACCCCACTAAAGATTTTGACCAATTCCTCTGCTACTTTTTTAACAGTCACATTCCTTAATGGAACTGCTTCTAGAGAGAGAGTTGCATAGTTGAATATAGGCTAGGATAATAAATCTCTATCCATATGTCCAGAGTGCTGTTTCACATCGTACCCCAATTACATATTCTTGCTGTGGAACATTTTTTAATTTTTGTGTATTTATAATGAATATTGGAGAATATGTTTTGTGACATTTCTCAAGCAAGTAATTTTGAGAAGATGTTCCTATGATGACACCACAAATAATAATGTACCATCTTAGTTCTAGAGTATGAAGAGCTGATTGACCCTGGTCCTATTGCTGGATTTTAGCAGTTACCCAATAATTGGTTAGCTCTACTCTTAGCTAAAAATATCAGCAATATTTTTAGAGTTTATTTTTACCACACTCTTAACAAGAATAAATCATTTCTCACTCTTTTACAAAAAATTGTCTGCAGGACTATGGGAAGATATAGTGTAAAATAATTAATTGTTATATCATTTAGAGTTGACTAAACTTCATATCAATATATCGATATTACTATTAATAGATTTGGGGAATGAGAATTTCAGCAAGTTTTTAAAAATGCATATAAGATATTTCTGTTGTTGGCACTTTTTTGTAATATTTGTATTATGATATAAATATTGGTGTTGTCTGGACTGAAAAATGATGGGACATCACAGAAGAAGGAGGTAGTAATGATGTTTCCATTCTTAAATTAATTTTTAAAAATATTTTAGATGTATATCTTGTTGCCACCTGTTTTCCCACAATGCCAACCCTGTTAGGTGGATTGGATGTTGTCATGTGTGAAGTTATGAGAGTTAATTTTTACATGATCAAAAGTATAAAAACAAATAGTAGGTCATATCATTACCAAAATATGGAACAAATGGAAACCAGATGACTTAAAGACCTTAATTTGGAGCAAGCCTGGAAAAAAATTGAACAGTGATTGAAATGTAAATAGAATTCTCATTTGCTGGCATTCTTTCATAATGACTTCATAGTTTAACTGCAATAAATCTGCTTTTTTGAGCTGTTGTGACCTACAAAATATATTCTTGTAGTACAGTGGTTCTCAACCTTTTTAATGCTGCGACCCCCAACCGGTCATAAGTCGAGGACTACTCAACCGGTCGTAAGTCGAGGACTATTCAACTGGTGCAGCACCGTTTGCAGAATGGGACTTTTGGCGGGCTCAGCAGGGCAGAGACAGCCTGGACAATTCCTATTGGCTTTTGAAAGCCAATAGAATTAGACTCTATTCAAGAGAGTCTATTCTATTGGGCTTTCAAAAGCCAATAGAATAAAAGGGAGTAGCACAGCTAAGGAAAAGGGGAAAAAAATGGCGGACTGCGTTGTTTGGCGACCCCCGTGAAATGGTCGTTCGACCCCAAATGGGGTCCCGACCCACAGGTTGAGAATCACTGTTGTAGTATTTTGTTTTGCCAGCTGAGAGGTTCCTGACAGAAGTCAATGGGAGACTAGATTAGTTTATAGAACATTTATCTTTATCTTATCATGTAAGAAATTTATTTTCTTGTTCTTGAACTCAGGGGGCTTTTATAATACAGGAAATATTTATCCAGTTGGTGGTACAAACAATATACTGTTTTTATATATATATATAAAGTTTTACAGGTTTTATAGAAAATATTTCCCATTAATTTGATTTAACAATCCTCTTAGAAAATCATGTTGGAAGCATTAACAGCATCAATCAACAATTATAATAGCTTTTTCCACACAGTAGTTGATACTTGTAGTGAAAATATTTATTATCATGTTTAAAATTATTTCTATCTAAAAAGGATTAAGTAAATACACAGGAAAATACAATATATAACAGACTAAGAAAATAATATAAATCATTTTACAAATTAGTTTTGTGTATTTTTTTTTCTGCAGGCATTTCCTATTCAAAACAGGAACAGGGACAACACCACTGTTCAGTACTGCAACACCGGGTTACACAATGGCATCTGGTTCAGTTTATTCCCCTCCTACACGACCACTACCTAGGAACACCTTATCAAGAAGTGCTTTTAAATTTAAGAAGTCTTCAAAGTACTGTAGCTGGAAATGTACAGCACTCTGTGCTGTTGGGGTCTCTGTGCTGCTGGCAATACTACTATCTTATTTTATAGGTAAGCTTTCCTTTTTATGATCATTATAAACCTGTATTCCAGTATACTGGAGGTATATATCTAGGAATGTTTTTTTTTATGAGAATTGGCTATAAGTCAGCAGCCATTTTTATACTAAAAGTGTAGCATATTGGTTATATACAAAACAATTTTCTCACAGCAAAAAGCCTAAATATCTTTACTTTTATAAATGTCACTTACTGTATACATAAACAATAAAAAGTATTGCTTACTTGTTTCTTTTTCCCATACTTTAAGGCAGTGTTTCCCAAACTTGACAATTTTAAGGCATGTCAGCCAGCATTGCTGGCTGTGGAATTCTGGGAGTTGAAGCCCTCATGCTTAAAATTGTCAAGTTTGGGAAACACTGCTTTAAGGAATAGTATTATTTTACTGAATAAGTTACTCATGATTGCTTGTGTTGTAAAGTTGACCACATACTATGTTAGTTAATTGTAAAATGCAATGATCCAACTCTGTATCAATTAGTGCATTATACCATAGTATAATGCCAGAGACTGTGATTATTACATAAACAATATAAGAGTGAAATGTCAGGTTTTACTGGCACAACTCCAAATAAAATATTCTGTTAAGCCCTAAACCAGTGGTTCTCAACCTTTCTAATGCCGTGACCCCATAATACAGTTCCCCATGTTGTGGTGACCCCCAAGTGGGTGTGGCCACCAATAAGAGGGAGTAGGACAGCTAGGGAAAAGGGAAAAAAATGGCGGACAGCGTGGTTTGGCGACCCCCGTGAAATGGACATTCGACCCCAAATGGGGTCCCGACCCACAGGTTGAGAACCACTGCCCTAAACTGTCTGAAATGTTGAAACTCTGTATTGAAATGCATTTCTTAAATTTAAGTTCAGTCTAAAGCACCAGCTAAATAAAAACTTGGAACTAGATCCTTGTTGAAGCTAAAGCCACTGAGAATAATGCTGAAATAATAAAATAACATAAAATTAGTTCCTCAGCAGTCGAAGAAATTTCCTTTCCTTGCTGTTTGAATGTGATTGCCTAAGATTATTGCCAGTCTCCCTATTACCAAAGAGAATCAAAAGAGTTGCATGGGACTGATTCTGATGCATTATGGTTTGATGCAGTAAATAGCAATACTCCTGGTAAGAAGTTTATTAGACACAAAGACTTTCTGGTTCAGAGTATTAAGGCAAAGACTTCTATTAATGTATGCATAAAAAGTATAATTAGTAGAATTAGTTTATTTTTATGTTTTTAGTTATTGGAATTGGAATATTGTGTGATTGGATATCCATGCAATTTGTCTCCAGTGCATAAGCTCTTAGTGTACATACAAACAACAGAGTCATAGATTATAAAATCATAAGACTCAGTGTTATGTTTTTAGTTCAATATATAGTTCAATCTTATTCCATACTCTTGACCTTGCAGAGCTTCAGGGTAATGTAATTATATTCATAAAATATGTCAGATTACAATTGGGCACATTTAAGTGCCAATAACATCAGACATTGAATATCTAAATATGCACTTAAAATGTCCTTACTTATACTTAGAAAGTGATGTGTGGTTGATTGAAACTCATCTAAATTTTAATTACATTATTGTTTTAAGTAATTCATTGTTTTAAATAAATAATATAATTAAATTAAGGTATATTGTTAATTAAAAGTTTCCTATTAACTTGGAGGCATTTAAATACATTCAATTATTGCATTGTATTATATAATGCTACTTTTTCTTCACCTCAGTTTCAAAACAAATAAGACTGATCATAAGTTTGCCTTATATTTGATACTACACTTGGTTTTCTAAGCAGTGATTAAAAGCTGGAGATAAGGGTTGCTTAGTCTCTCTAGTTCAGTGGTTCTCAACCTATGGGTCGCGACCCCATTTGGGGTCGATCGACCATTTTTCGGGGGTCGCCAAAGGCGGCGATCCGCCATTTTCTACTTTTATACTTTTTGTATAATTCCACAATAATTCTTTGTTCTTTTACTTTTTTCCTGGATATGAACATATTACTTTCTAAGTTATCCACTTTCAAAGCATAATATAAAAGTGTCTACTGCTAGATTGCAGAATGTTAAAAATATATAACATCTCTACTTAGCAAATTAGAAGGTACTATAGCTCTGGAGTCACAATTGGTCCTGTGCTTCTCTTGTTACGGAGTTTCAGCCCAAACCCCAACTCCTTCGGGGAAAAATGCTTACTTTGTCACTTGATAACATTGTCCTTAGCAGTACAGTTGCTTCTTCAGAAACTGTAATTGTAATTGGTTGTTCAACTAAAGCAACTGTCCCACAGCAGAAGGAGTGTGTTATTTTTTCTGCTTAAAAGGATAGTTAGTAGTCTTACTTACCAATTGTTTCTGATAGGCAATGAAAAATATTTTTTCAATAATTCATGGAAGGAATAACAACCTGCAATTTAATACATTTCCATCTTGCCAACAGTCTCCACTGTTGCATATTTCTACTCAGTTAGTTGGCCTTTCACAAATCCAACAAAGGAGGCAGTCAGCAGGCTGAACCACCTCCAGAAGATGTCATCAATATGTCAGTCTTTGCAAAGTCTCTTTTTAATTGAAGTGGAAGCAGCCTACTGTTGATCAGTGTGTCAGAGCATCCAGCTATTTGGGCAGTTGTCAGATTCCTTCCTTTGACAATATTCTATAATGGGATTAAACATTGCATATTTTTCAGCTACTCAAATTTCTATCCACCTAGTTTATGAATATGTTCCATTGGAATAATAAAATCACTGAAAGTTTTTTTTTTAAAAAAATTCATCAAAGTATTAAACGAAAAATTTGATTGGAAAGCAACATTGTAAACTTTATTGTTTCAATTTCATAAGTGACCCTCAGTTCAGCTCATCAGGAAGATTTAACAGCTTTAATATGGCATTAACTTTTTCTATGTTCCTTTTTGTCCATGCCACATTTTCTTTATTTAACAATTGAAAGTATTCCAGTATAAGGAAGTCTGCTTATCATTAATCAGAGATCATGGCTTCAGTGATCTTGCTCTTCACCTGATAGAATACTCATATTATGATTGTTTTGTGCTTCTTTCAAATATATCACAGTTTTACTGATATCAGGTTAATTTTTCTTCCTAGAAGCAAATACAGGTAGCTTTCCTTGGACGTTTGCAATATTATGTCTATAAAATACCCATCATGATAAATCTGATCTTCCCTCAAGATTCATTAATTTACTAATCAACTTTGTTCCATGGGCATGACGTTCCTTCTCTAGCCACTCCTATTTTGCCAAACCCATACAACATCTCAATCCAAGGGGTGAAGCTGGGAGGAGCAGGGTAGTAATTTATTAGACTTTGGAAATCACATTGAATCAAGATATGGTAATGCAAAACAAATAAGGCCAAGATGAATATAATTCCAGGCTTTGCATAGGAAGAGAGAGAGAGAGATCACACTAAGTAAAAATAATATGCAGTGAGCATGACCAACAATATATAAATACAAACCAATGTTCATGTAGCTGCAAAAAAAAGCTATTCTGTTGTTCTTAATTGCAAAGTCGTGTCCGACCCATCACGACCCCATGGACAACGTTCCTCCAGGCCTTCCTGTCCTCTACCATCTTCTGGAGTCCATTTAAGCTCACGCCTACTGCTTCAGTGACTCCATCCAGACACCTCATTCTCTGTCGTCCCCTTCTTCTGTTGCCCTCAATCTTTCCCAGCATTAGGCCCTTCTCTAGTGAATCCTTCCTTCTCATTAGCTGGCCAAAGTATTTGAGTTTCAACTTCAGGATCTGGCCTTCTAAAGAGCAGTCGGGGTTGATCTAGGACTGACCGGTTTGAATGCCTTGCAGTCCAAGGGACTCGCAGGAGTCTTCTCCAGCACCATAGTTCAAAGGCCTCAATTCTTCAGCGCTCAGCCTTTCTTATGGTCCAACTTTCACATCCATGCATTGCAACTGGAAAAATCATGGCCTTGACTATATGCACTTCTAGGCTGCCTCAACAGAATGATAGTATCAAGATGAAGAGAATCTGTTGTTATTGTGTCTTCTGCATTGTTCAAATCACATGTCAAACATTGTATCATGTCCAGGGCACAACATTTTAAGAAAAACATTGACAAACTGAAGCATGCCCAGAGGAAAACACACCCAGATGATAAAGTTCTGGAACAACAACAAAACTTATGAGAAATGGTTGAAAGATATTATCATTCTGGAAGTGAGTTGGGCAGCATTTAACATATAAAAATTAAATAAATTGTATCTGTTTATTTTAGTCTGTTCTTAACCTATAATAAAGCTATATTGTTATAAGCTCAGCATCTCTGGATAGTATGCTAAAGTCCCTGAGAACCATTAGCCTTGGGGTCTCTGTGAACCAGATGGGCAGTTTTAAAATTTGATAAATAAATAAAAGATTCATGTACAATGATAATAGATGAGTCAGCCAACCTGATTTGCATCACCAAATCCTGGGTGAACCAGGCAGGGTAAGATTCCTCTCAGAGATAAACAGACTTGGGTTTGGGGGCTGGCACCAGCCACAACTCCAGGGAAGAGGAAGTGGGGTGGTAGTTGTCATCTGCAAAACATTATTATATATTTATTTTTGATGTTTTTATTGCTGTAAAGGTTTTTTTATTGTTTTAATTGTGTGTGTGTGTGTGTGTGTGTGTGTGTGTGTTTGTATATTGATTTTCCAGTTTTACATTTACATATTTGAAAAGCACGTGGCGGCTGGATTGTTTCATAATTCAATAACATACAAATGTCTTTAGTACAAATCACACTATTACATTAAATATTTCCTCTCTTTTTCCCTTGGTATTTACTGTCTCACATTTGAATTAATACAATTCTTATTATCAATTTATCAATTTAATACAAATAGCTTTCTTACATTTATCAATAATTTTTAGTTTATACATATCTTAGTCATTTTAACATTCAAACGATTTAGACAACCAATGTCCTGGTAAGTTTTTTCCAAATTTTTAGTTTCCCATAAATATTTA